TGATTTCGCTTTTGGCTGCCGCTGCCGCCTTGTCTGTTCAGCTTGTCTCCCTTCATGATTTCGCTCTTGGCTGCCGCTGCCGCCTTGTCTGTTCAGCTTGTCTCCCTTCATGATTTCGCTTTTGGCTGCCGCTGCCGCCTTGTCTCTCAAGCTTGTCTTCCTTCATGATTTCGCTCTTGGCTGCCGCTGCCGCCTTGTCTCCCAAGCTTGTCTCCCTTCATGATTTCGCATTTTGCTGCCGCTGCCGCCTTGTCTCTCAAGCTTGTCTCCCTTCATGATTTCGCTCTTGGCTGCCGCTGCCGTCTTGTCTCCCAAGCTTGTCTCCCTTCACGATTTCGCTCTTGGCTGCCTCTGCCGGCTTGTCTTCCAAGCTTGTCTCCCTTCGTGATTTCGCTTTTGGCTGCCGCTGCCGCCGTGGTTCCCAAGCTTGTCTCTGTTCCTGATTTCGCTCTTGGCTGCCGCTGCCGCCTTGTCATTTTCTTGCCTGCCTTTGATGCGGATGCTGTTATAAGATGATTAGGTCTTGTTTACCTTTTCCATCCCTGTCCCCGCTTTGAGTGAAATGTCTCCCAAGCTTGTCTCCTGCTCTTGCCATGCTATCCTTTTCTTGAAGTGCTATCTGGGGTCTATGCCGGTATAGTATTTTTTAAATTACCTCATCTAGACCTAAATACCTTAATATTATTGTCAATTTATATTATTTTAGAGATTATATTCATAATCATTTCTAAATAATATATTTAAAACATACATAAATATCAATAAAGATTGTTTTATAAAAATATTACACCGGCAAGGGACCCCAAATAGTATAAAGAGGAACAGATGGAACATGGCATCACGTGGAAGGAAAGAAGGAGCACACAGATGAGAGCACAAATATGAGAGGATACATACGAGAGCGCAAATGTGAGAGTGCAGATTCACGAGCACAAATGAGAGCACACATATGAGAGCATATGGGAGCACATATGAGAGCACATGCGAGCACACATCTGAGAGCACAAATGTGAGAGCACATACAAGCACAAATCTGAGAGCACATAGGCGAATACATAGGAGCATTTCAAAGTTCACAATGTACCGCGCCTGCTACGAAATCTGCACATGGAGGTTCACAAAGTGCTGCGCCTGCCACGAAATCTGCACATTGAGATTCACAAAGCGCTGTGCCTGCTACGAAATCTACGCATCGAGATTCACGAAGTGCTGCACCTGCCACGAAATCTCCACTTCCAGACTCAGCAAGTGCTGCGCCTGCCACGAAATCTGCACATCTAGGTTCACACAGTGCTGCGCCTGCCACGAAATCTGCGCATCGAGATTCACAAAGTGCTGCGCCTGCCACGAAATCTGCGCATCGAGCTTCACAAAGTGCTGCGCCTGCCACGAAATCTGCGCATCGAGATTCACAAAGTGCTGCGCCTGCCACGCAATCTGCACATCGAGATTCACAAAGTGCTGCGCCTGCCACGAAATCTGCACATCCAGATTCACAGAGTGCTGCGCCTGCCACGAAATCTGCACATCGGAGATCCAAAATGAGCAAATTGCACGAGGCTTTCGCACATTTTGAAATGCGTTTCAGAAATGCTGCACCTGCGATGAAATCATGCCTGCAGGTCATACGAAATGCTGCACTGGCCACGCAAAAGCATCCTCAAGTTCAAATTCCAAAAATGCGACCCCTCTCACGAATTCAACCGTTTCACCTCAAAATATCGCATCCATGGTGCGGATTCCCTGCGCCTGCCACGTGAAACGCAATCCTGCGAATGACACACGCCTGCCAACGTTTTTGCAACGTCCACAAAACACTGCGCCTGCCACGAAATTTACAAAGTCTCCGATTCCTTGCACCTGCCAAGTAAAATGACCTTTTCGAGGCTCCAATGCGTCGAATTCCTTTCGTCTGCCACGCAAAATGCATTTCGTGTCCGAAAACGAGCACGGCACCTGCACGAGAGCTTTGTCCCGGAAGCGCGAAAGGCGCGGCCACCACTTTATGCGAGCCTGCGCAGTCGAAATGGACATGAGGAATTCAAAAAGTAACTTTTGTGCGAGCCGGCCCACGCAAAATGCCGAAACCACACGCGCGAACCCTGATCTAAACCCGCTTAACTGTTACCGTAAGAACCCCTTAGTGCGGAGCACTATTTGGGGAATCATTTAATAGAAAAAAGAAATTTATATTAAATAACTATATATATATATATTTATTGTATTAATTATTTGATTTAATATATATATGTATAAATGAATATTTGTTAAAAAAATATTTATATATTATTTAGTTTAATTGATTTTTTGAATACTAATTTAACATTCATTTTCCTCAATATTAAAATATTACATATTTTTCATTTCATTTCACAGCCGGCCAGGTGCAGGTTAGCCCGTGTTGGGCAGCACACACGTAGGTGCGGAAGCTTCAAGAGCTTCAGTTGCCTCGGATGGATGCATTCACGGCTGATTGAAAGCATTTGCTAGCAGTTCTATCCACTCATCGGTGGATCTAGGATGAAAGAGCGGCCTTCTCCAAAATTGAGCGAGTCTTTGCTGGGAAGCAAGCCAAAACAAGTAGCAATTTTGCTTGAGCTCTTCATTTAGGCGGCTCTTCCAAGGCAAACGGTTATCATCAGTCATCCAAATATCTCCATTGGTAAGGAGAAATCCTTGGTAGTGACCGGTATCAGGGATCGGGCCCAAGTGCAAGGTCAGAGTGGCGATCCGGAATTGAGTCCACTGCACTTGCTGGCCTCTAGCAATGGCAAGGATCGGAAACAAGACCTCAATTCGGGGGAAATCAATCAGGATCTCATTCTTATGGTGCAGATCAGGGAAACGTTCAATCTGCAAGCACACCATGGGATGCTCACATGTAAGAGCTGCAGTGTGGGGTGATTGACGATGCCATTGGTAAATTAGGTCTTGAAGATAGCAGGTTTTTTGGTCAGGGCAACGAAACAAGATGGGTGCATAGATGGCACCTTGATCAATTGCCTCATCCATTAATCGATTCTGTCATCCCTTTTGGATGGAACCCCAAGGCGTGTGCCTCAAAAATTGCTCACGGAACCATCCTGTATCGTCTTGTTGTCTCCCCTACGGATGATGTATAAACCAATTAGCGTGAAACGAAATGAATGATTCATCGATATTCAGGTCGGCCAATACACCTCAATCATCCAGCAAAAAGCGCATGTGCCGACCCCAAGGACCCCACCAATCAGGGGTGAAATCATCAAGCACAATCGTAGCCCAAAACTGACAAATCATCATATTATTCAAAAAATAATTATTAAACACCAAATATTTAAAAACATTGCTTAATATATTCAATTTATTTATTAAAACAATATATATATATATTCCTTCCCAAGATAATCTCCTACAAACAAATATTTCATTCAATATCCGCCGACCCCTGCCTAGCTGACGCCTACGCGGGGCGGCGGGGGGACACCGGAGGGTGAAACGGTTGCTTAATTTGCTTTCGGCCACAGCCGGACCTGCCTGTGGCCACCTACCCGGGCTGCTGCTACGCGGTTCCGAACCTGCTGGAGCCCCGCATGGACATCCCGCTTCAATCTGAGCCTGATTAGACACCCTTTCTATTCACCTGGGCTGCTGCACGCCTGCACCTGGGCCTAGTTGCGCTGCTACTACGGGTTAGGCATTTTGGCTGGCTGCGGTTCATTTGTTCTTGGTGTGGAATTAGATGGTGGAAAATTGTGGCGATATAGATTGCCGGGAATCTTGGCGACGTGCCAGGCAACGTTAGGCACTTTGGTTGCCTACACCCCGTTCCGACTGTTTTTGTGGGTAGAAAGAGATGGTGTCGTTTGCTCGCCCGGAAACCCTCCGTTGCGGTTGCCTTCTGTCTATACCCGCATCTCAGCCGGGAGCCTTGGGAGGGAACGCCTAGCCCGTGCCAAGCGATAACAACACCATCCCGTTTTGGGCAATCTATACAGCAATAAAATTGTTCTGTGGGCCTTTTCTCGGTTGCCTCTGGACTGCAGCCTTGCGAGTCAGCCTCTAGAACGTGCCAGGAACCTATTAGCGCCCCGTGTAGACATCCCACTTCAAACCGAATCTACTTAAACCCCCCTCAAGTTACTACACGCCTATACCCAAGCCTAATTACGTTACTATTACGGGCTAGCTATAATTCGCCCCTTCTTAATATGGCATACAATAATAGAAAAATTATAACGACATAAATTACCGGAAGTCTTAAACATCCAACAACTATTAATGTGGTTCAGGGATGCTAACTAGGAGCATGGTGGCCCCATTTTCTGGGAATAAAAGATCCAAATTTATGGCATGCATTGCGCACCATCTCAGCATCGTATAGTAAAAACATGGCAGGAGAATCAATGGGCCTTACTTATTACAGAACGAGTTTAGCCAATTACTCTGGAACTTTGACCTATACTACCAAACAACAAAAAGATAGAAACCGACTGCATACTTCAAAATACACAAGTAGCGGTCCTTCAATACCACAAATAAGAACTAAGCTAAATTGTAGTGCTCGGAACGGCAAAAAGCGTTTCAAGACCAACTCCAATTTTTAGATTCCAAAAGCAATATACCTTTAAATAACTATAATTTCTCTGTACCGACAATTATTATATACAAAAATCAATAATCGTTTATCCGTTCAAAAAAATCCGTTATAATTGTTTTCTATCTATCACCTCAATCGGCAATCTTAACCATTCGATAACCACATCAAATCGTTTTAGCCCAATCAAAAAACAACAAAATTACTCTATATATCCCACCTCGATTACCTATAAATTACAACCTTACGAATCAAATTTTAAAAGACCCTTTCTATTCGCCTAAAATATTACACGCCTATACCTATAAGCCTAATTACGCTATTATTACGAATTAAATCTTTTAACCAATTATAATTTCTTAATATAATATAATTGTTAAACAATTATAATTTCTATAATAACATAAATTACCGAAAACCTTAAAATTCAAAAAACTATTACGACCCGACGTGGTAACTTACCCCATCGCACATGAACTTGACCCACCCCCATGGCACACCGCTTACCCCATGAATGTAAGATGGCACACCGCTTCGATACAAGCACGTTTTCTCCTAAATTGTTTCTAAACCTACACGATTCCATTGCGATTCAATCTTCTACATGTTGATGTTTTCTAAGGTTTTGTGTGGGTTGCCGTGATCCAACCCCCATGACACACCGATTCTGACCCACATGTTGGTACCAGCTTCAAGTTTCTACATAGAGTGCAAACAACATGGAATTGTTCTGTAAACGTCAAATATATCTATTCATTCTTGCGTGTTTTCCTCTCCCAATCCCCATGGCACACCGCTTCGAAACAAACACTTGTTCTGCTAGCCTAGATTGTTTCTAAACCTACACCATTCCATTGCGATTCAATCTTCTACATGTTGACGGGTTCTAAAGTTTCCTATGGGCTGCCTTGATCCAACCCCCATGGCACACCGATTCTGACCCACATGTTGGCACCACCTTTAAGTTCCTACCTCGAGGGTAACCACGACTAAGTCACGACAGAGTCCTTGCAGAATTTAGTTTCCGCATGGGACACCGCGTTTCATCAAACAGGCCAAACACTATGCTCTCCAAGCCCAGTTTACAATACTGCCACAATGATAGGGTTTGTGCAACAACAGCCAGCAGCAAATGAGTAGGCTTTGCAGCGCAGGCAGCGGCAGCGGCAGCAAGCAGCGCCAACCAGCAGCAAAAAAACAACACCAACCCAACAGCTAACCAGCAGTAGTTGCCAACCAGCGCCAGCAAACCAACAGCAAAACAGCACAGCGCAGCAGCAGCAGAAGCAGCAGCAGCCAACCAGCAGCAAACCAACAGAGGCTAGAAACCAAATCATCTGGGATGTGGGATTGGTGAAAACGGTGTGCACACCCGCTCCCGATCTCTGCCAGAAGTATACTAAAACCACGACAAAACCCATAGTTAGCTTGCGTTTTGCCTTCTTTGGTGTCTGTGTGTGCGCGCGTTCTTTCCGCGTGGTACACCTGCGAAAAATGGGAACAGGAACGCTTAAAAACATGAACCCTCCAAATCGCTCCTTGCCTGGGAGGCCCATGCAAATTAAAGAGGCCTTTGCTTACACATGTGCCTTTGCTTACGCATGTATAGCAATTTTCATGGCGCACCTCTAGAGGTCCTAGTGCCTGGTGGGTTGGGCGAGATAGAGGGCGAGATATTAGGCGAGATGAGCACGTTTGCCCAGAAGACCCATGCCCACTAACATCCAAACACAAGAGTCCTTGCGACGCAACGCAACTATAGCAACCAATCATATACTAAGACACCACGCCACGACTAAGTCACGGCAACGTCCCTGCGATACTGATTTGCGTACGCGACACCGCGTTTCACCAAACAAGCCTGCCACCAAGCTTAAAATCATGTTTCCAATACCCAATCTGCAATAGAAGAAACTATAATCATAAGGCCTATAAAACAATGACAGGCAGCAAATAAAAAGGAGCAGCGGCAACGACAAGTAACAGCACCAACAACAACCAAGCAGCAGCACCGGCGCAATCAGCCACCAGCAACAGCAATAACCAACCAACAACAAAGCAGCAACAGCAGAAAACCAACAATAACAACGAACCAATAACAACGGACCAATAACAACAAACCCGACATATATTAATTACCATAAATTACCAAACAACAAACGCCATTGTCCCAACATTACATTAGTAAAAAAAACTTAAGGCTAATTACTAATTACAAAAAAGAATAAATATACAATATAAAATAACCAAACAATAATCGTCTATATTCCTTAAACATCAAATTACTTAAGACATCGTTTCGCAACGATTATTTTTTTAAAAAAAATTAATCACAATATAATGAAGCCAAGAACATAAAATCGTAATAATATACTCGGGAGTACAATAAATCTAAAATAAAATCAACAATATACCCGTACGGTTTAATCGAATTCTCAACCTATAATCAATAACACCATATATACAAAAATTTAGCCCAATCAAGCTTTCCCCCAAAAATACATCTCATCTAACACAAATTCATACCATTAGCCCAACCACCCAATATTTTAAACAAATATCAATTACATAAGCTCCCGAAAACGACGTACCAAATATTTTCGTTAATTATATCTTCCCGTTCTAATAATTAACTTAAGGCCAAAAAAGAGGCGAAAACTAACGTTCCAAAATGGGAAAATAAAAAATAACGAAGTAAAAAAAAACCACGGCGTTCTTTTTAGAGGCAAAAATAAAGAATCCTTTATATATAATTCTTTACCCGAATCCTCCTACGAAAGAGAAAAAAAACGGAAAAACGAAAGACGAAAAAGAGAAAAAAAAAAAAAAAAAAAAAAAAGAAAGAAAAATAAAAAAAATCAAAAAAAAATAAAAGAAGTAAAAAAGAAATAAAAAACATAACAAAGACAAAAAACAATAAGAAAGTAAAAATAAAAATAAACGAGTGCGGCCGCAAAATACGCAACGCTAATCACATACCAAAAAGCGACGACAAAACGGAATCGAACTTATAAAAAAAAAAAAGGAAAGAAAAAAGAAAAAAAAAAAAACAAAAAAAAAAAAAAATAAAAAAAAAAAAAAAGAAATAAAAAAAAATCTTCGATTTAAAAAATCAAGAATTAAAATTTACATCCGATCGAAAACATCTTACTATCGCAAAAGTAATTCCAACTAGCTTCACTAATTTTCGTAATAAAATAACATAAAAAAATATCATTTATCCGTCCGTAAATCCTCCATTACGATTATTATATACCTATATATATACCTCAATCGAAAATCTATTTTCTATATTACGTTTCCATTACAAATCCTTCCACAAAAATCGATATAACTCTTCGTTTCAACATTATCCTTTCATTACAAATCCTTCCCACAAAAAAAACTCGACGACACCAAAACGAAATCCTTACAATAATCAAATATTTTCCAATGAAGAAATATATTAATATAACTATTAAATTACTAAAACTATAATTTTTAAAAATATTATATCTGACTTATTCATCTAATTCACAATAATTTACATAGGCCGGAATTTGGAAACATACATTAATATCTATATTATATATCATTCATATTCATAAACTAGAAATGATTTAATCATTCTTCAAATAAACACAGAATCAATAAATTAATATAAAATCTAAACGTCCATACTATCATATTTACATATTATAATATAATATGTTCAAACAAACATATAACGTGGAAACAATTGTTGACATTGAAGGTTTAGATATCGTACCCACGTCAATGATCCGAACCCATGAAATGTGGCTCCAGGCAAGGTCGTGCTTGTAAATGATCATCCACCAGGTTCTGGACAAGCAAGGGCAGCAAAGTAATTATGCATGTTTAACAGCTTGGCCCGCTCGTCATCTACAAAGCCTTTAAGCAATGAAATACGGCGCCCAAGTAGCAGGTCCATACAACAAAACTAAAACCACAGGTCTTACTAGACTAAGCCAACTAACCAGATCCGATCTGTCGACTGTGCGTGACAGTGCATCAGCATATTAGGTTTGCTAAGGTCGAACCCTGCACGGGAAAAATTGCAATAGTTGAGACCGTGCCCATTTATACGCTTTAATTCAGTTTTGGGTCGCGTAAGTCTACCCAAGATTCGGGAATTTCAGCTTTAAAGTCTGGTCCCGCCGTTCAGCGCCTCACTGCGGGAGTGGTTTGTTAGGAAGCGCTCCAAGAGTCTGCGCGCTACTTGAACCTTCTGGTCGTTGGGCCCATATAGCTCCTGCAGGGCTCTCTGCGAAGCGAGGCACTATATCAATGAAGTTTGAGGACAACTTGTATCACATGTGAGCACGCCACCTTCTGGTTAAGCGCAAACAGTAAACACTTGTATTATGTATGCTCTACACCGTGGTGTCAAAGGAATCCCCATGTCTGGACTCATCGCAAAAACTATATGTATATCATATACAGATCGGAAATCCGCCGACCCTCTGTCTTGCGCAAAGGCGTGTCTTGGGGAAAGTGCGCTAGCTAGTAAAGATCTTGGTTCTGTAAGTTCAATGTTCCTCGACGCGGAATCTTTGATTTCGGCGGACGAGCGGAAAGCGGAACTACTGGATGTTCCCCTTTTACGGAAACCTACATCTGGGGCTTCTGTTGGAACGTTTTCAAAATGAACTTTTAAAGCCACCTGTACGTATAGCGCAGGGTAGTCGGAGGAACTGAAGCATTAGTATCAGGAACTGGTCCTGGCCGGTATTTTTGCCTTAGCCTTTTTCTTCTTGTACCTCATGTGGTATGTATGAGGTCTGTGTTTGCCTTGCGCGCAGGACAAGCAATTGCAGCAAAACTGTGGCTAGGATGTTCTTAAGACCAAACTTGCGACATGTAAGAAGTTCTCCAGCTGCTGTATGTGCGAGCCCATTAGTCTAAGTTGCTCATCTGCTGAATGGGAACATGGCCTTACTTTTGTCGAAACAGAACTTCCCGTTGGGCAGCGCAAAGCATATTTTTCCGGGTTTTGCCCCTCACGCAGAAATGTTTTTAATGGGGCAGCGGACCTGGCCGAAGGCCATTAAAATGACGCGTCAGTAAATCGTTACGTTGACTGATGTTTGGGATGTGTCACAAAGCAATGTTCTTTCTACAACTGAGCCCTCCCATTGAAACATCCAGCTTCCAACATCTTCTTCAGGCTGGCCTCCAGGCCCTTCAAGTGTCTAACATAGAGATCTTCCGCCTGTACAAAGAGTTCAATATTTTGGAAAAGTCAAGAAAGTGCCGGGCTCACCTTGAACCACTGGTGTGAAAAGGACAAAAGAATAGAACACTTGCAAAAAACAACTCAACCACCGAACCTTTAGAAACTGTTTGCTTTCGAGTTTTACTTACCACTTTCTTTTTGATTGCTACAGTGCAAAAAAAACTTGTTGAAGTAGTTACTTCAATTCAGTGGACCTGTAGGCCTCAATGGGTAAACTGGTTCTTCGGACCAAGCTCTGCTTGCCGGCGCCGCCCTCAATGGGTCTTAGTTGGGATTCATAAAAGAACAGGGGAAGGCCCTTGGATGTATTTTCACTTCTTCACGCGGGTTTGATGTACAGCAAAAAATCTTATATAGCATTTTCGCATGTGAGCGAGCGCCTTGACAAAGAGGACAGGAGTCAACAATATAAAACTATTGCTTTCGAGGAGGGAGGGCCTATCGTTTTTCAGGCCTCACCCAACCTTCAATTATCCCGGCAAGAGACCCCAAACAGTGTGTCTAAAGGCTAAAGGTGTGTGGCCCAGAGCTGTAGAAACAGAAGGTCTAGAGATCTAGGCGCGCTGCGCTCCAGAGAGCGGTGATGGTGGTGATGATGACGGTGGTGGCGATGGTGGAAATGATGGCGGTGGTGATGATTGCGGCGGTGATGGTGGTGGTGATGATGGTGGTGGTGGTGCTGGTGGTGATCCCCCGACATCTGCGCGTCAAGGCGCGCAAAGTGCTGCTCCTGCCACGAATTCCACATGGTAAGGCCGACCAAGTGCTGCGCCTGCCACAAAATCCGCAGGTTAAGGTCCACAAAGCGCTGCGCATGCCAGGAAATCTGCACTTCAAGACCTAAAAAATACTACGCTTGCCACAAAATCTGCGCATCAAGATTCGCATCGCGCAGCCCTGCCAAGGCGGTTCGCAGTAAGAGTACTTCCGAAAACATCAAGACGCCATTTCTGAAAACGGGCCACATGTCCAAAAGTCACGATTCACTGCACCTGCCGCGAAACCAGAGCGCACCGAAGACCACCACCACCACCATGTCCCCCAAACGGACGCGAGCGCCTCCGATCAGACACCCGTCCTTAACCCTGACCTTGTAACACGAACCCCTAGTGTTACTACACTGTGTGGGGAACATAGCCAAACACCAACCATATCAAACAAAACTTGCTCTTACAGCACGGCGTCACATCACTGAGGGCAGGACAACGCACATCCACCAGGTCAAATTAAACAAAAACATTTAGCAGGACTCCAGAATCAAATCCACGACATTCCCTCAGGACCAAAATGAAAAGAGTATGTCTGCACTTGCGCTTGGGCGTGCGCACGCTGGCTGCCTTCTCACAAACCAACACCAAAACATAAGTGGGTGGGACCCCACTACAACAGTTTTGGGTGGAGAAGGATAACCATCACACCAGGCTCTGGGTGGCACTGGGAGAAACAGTGCAACAGAAACCTTCAAACATACTCTTGAGGGGGGGACAAGGACGGGTGAAGAAAGAATGGGCAATTTGATCTGACAATGGCTGGAGAGGAAGTAAGATAGACATTCAGATGGTTGCTTCAAACACGATGTTTCCTGAAAAGTTTTGTAGCAACAAACGCGCGTTATTGTCCGCAAAAATTGTTCTTACACATCCACCAGGTCAAAAATTTAGCAGAAGTGTCCAGGGTCAAATCCACGACATTCCCTCAGGGCCAGAAAATGAAAAGAGTATGTCTGCACTTGCGCTTAGCGCCGATCGAATAGGAACTTGACTCGGAGGATATGAGTGAGGGGAGACCCCTGTTCAAGTATATCAGTGGCCATACCTCGTCGAAAACAATCGAAAACCATGCCAACCACACAGCAAGCGCGAAACTTCCGTGTGGCTTCAGAGAAACTGAAAGGCCAGACCGGAGAGCCCAGAGTGGGGTTTCATCTGGAAAGCTCAACCTGCTTGGCCACTGCGCAGGCACAGCCTAAGACATCGAAGCCCTTCCTGCACGCGCAGTGTCTCACGAGCTTCGCTCCATGCGGTTGGTTCTTGCGAGTTCGCAGGTGCACAACCACTGAGCCACGTCTGATGGAAACACAGCGTCCGTCGGCCTGAAGTGGTAGGAGTTCGTTAGCAACCCTGAACAGAAAGCCCCTGGCAATGACAAATAATCGGGCCAAATCATCCCAGTCATGATCCATGGCTGCCTTGACAAGACAAAGGACATGTTGGCGCTGTAGCCGTGGGAGCTCTGATCGCTGCGCATCCTTACGGGCGCCCCGCGTCAGCTGCTGGCAGCTCGTTAGCGGCCGTTAGCGGAAATGGAACGTGGCCCAGGTGTTCCATGAGTGTGTCAGCATTCCGAAATTGGTGGGCGAACGCTGCCAACATAAGTCCCCCACGCCCGCTTTTCCAGCACCCCCTGATGGATGACATCATGGTGCGAATGGCAGCTTCCAGAGCCAGCCAGGAAAGCGCCATATATGCAAGTTGATGGGATCCGGTGCGTTGGCAGCTTGCATGGCGCAAGCAACCCGTAAACGCTTGGAAGGCGCAGCGTCCCAAGCAGCAGGGCCAACTACTGGCCCACCATGCAGGCCCGAACCGTGGCAGCAAAAATTCGCAACCAGTGGTGCAAAGAAGATGGTCGGGAGGCCAGATCCCGCTCCTGGAAGACAAGATGGGACCCTGCAGGCCAGCACCTCAAGCCAAGACCCTTTGCACCTTCATAGGCCCTCCAGCAACATAAAGGAAAGACAGATGGGGGAAGGAAGCGAGACCCACGCATGCCAAGACGGCTCCAAGACCCCCGTCCGCAGATGCATCAGCGTAAACAATGAGTGGGCGTTGTGGGAAGAAGCCGAGAGGGCAACCGCAACAGCAATTCGCTGTAGTTCGCCAAGCCACCATCAAGTCCATTGCGAAGGCAGCGAAGCTGAGACGGCCTGTGAGATTGCGCAGCCGCAAAAGGTCAAGGTAGACATCGCCCTCCAGAAGCTGCTTAATTTCTGTCATTGAGAGGTTTGCCTTGGCCGGTTCGGGACAGACTTGGATAGCGGAGTCATTCTGGATGAGACCGATCCGAATTCCAAGCAGCGCTATGCCGCTATGCCAGCTTGTGGAAAACCAGCGTGCAGATCCAAAGTGCGACTACCAAGGGCCCAAGAAGACCATTGGCTGAGGACGTGTTGGACAACCGGAACTGCAAACGAATTGCCCGCGACAAGCGTGTGGTCCAAGCAAAAGCCAACCTCCCGCCCAGACCTTTGCAGCCCCGTACCGTGGGACGCCGCTGCCATTCTGGAGCTTGGGTGGAGACCTTTGGGGAGTTCCCCGCCGGCAAGGCAGCCCCTGACAGGAGGTTTGCCAGGCTGTCTCTCCATAGCTACAGCCGTCATGGTTTGGTCTATCGCCAGGATTTGGTTCCTTCGCATTTTCGGGTCTTGGAGGCCAAGGTTGCTGCAGCCATTGACGCGGTCAAATCCCGACGGTCCCTCCAAAACAAGGGGTCCAAGGCTGTTCAACTCCGGGGCAGTCTGGCCGAATGGATTCATGTGCACGGGGGCCTCGAGGTTTTGCGACTCTTGTCAGGTGCAGAGCGCGATCGCGCATTAGGGTTCCGGAGCTTCTTCCTTGCCAGATGATGCAATAGCAACGCTCCCGCTCGGCGGCCAAAAAGCAAGGAAACCTTGAGGGATTGGGGCTCGGCTCGACTCCCATTGTGCGTGAGATAGCTTCACGCTGCTCATCTGACAACCAGACTCCGCTGCGTGAGTGGTGATGTTGAAGGAGCTTCCGGCACGGAACGTCCGTCTCAAAGAGCATGTGATAGACTGTGTCTCCCAACAAGGGTTCCGGTTCCAGCCTGAGGTGAAGAGGTAGGCTTGGAGAGCGGCCGAATATCGGACCGCCTCCTTTGCACCGACTTGCAGGTGGCGCGGTCGGGGCAAGTGAAGCCATTGGCCTGGTCATGTTTAAAGCAAACAGGGCCATGCGAGCCAGGTTGGGTCGGCCGGGCTGCTTTCGCATCAGCTGGAGCAGAAGTACGAAACTTTCTGACATCCTTGGTGGGAGGAGGCTCTGAAGGCTGAGGCCTCTGAGATTGATAGTGCTTGATATCAAGCTTGTGAGTCAAGCGGCGCAAAGGTCGCTGAAGCAAGTCAGAAAAGTGGAACTTCTGAGAGCTGCGCGTCAAAGACTGCAGTTCGTACCGCAAACCTCGTTCATAGCGGACTGCATCGGACAAGCCATGTTCGGCGCTCATGCGAATCAGAAGCAGGAGATGAGCAAAGACGTCCGGAAACTGGATGACGCCGACCACGGCGTGAGCGAGCAAAAGTTGGACACTAGGCTGAGGAACCTGGCCGTGTCCAACTGGTCAGTCCTCCTCCACTGCTTGACCAAAGCCTCACGCGCAGATGGGGATTCCCCGTGCCCAACCCACAGCGGCACCCAAGACTCCAAAGGAGTATCAGCGAGACTCACGGGCTTTCGAAACCAAAGCTTGCAACTTGGACAGCACCTGGCTGGTGGGGAACCAGTCAGTGGGAAGAAACTGGTGTGAAGTCCGCTTGAGGACAAAGGCCAGGTCGAACTTGTCCATGTCTTCATCATCAGAGTCATGGTCTCGCAGAATGGGATTCTTGGATGTTGGCCGTTGCCCCCGGGCAAATCGATCAAGGGTGTGCATTGACCCGCACTTGTTCCACAGCAAGGTCCGTGTGAGGCATTGAAGTACAGGTGCTGGTGCAGGAGCAGGAGGGTCTGGATGCCGATCTGGAGGAAGAGACCGTGAGGGAGATGTTTGACGACGCAGCGGCGCTCGTGAGTCGCGGCTGCAGGACCGACGGCGACGACGGCTGGTCCCGCCATGGAGGCGCCCAGCAAGGTCAGACATGAGTGAAGAAAGAGTGGACAATTTGATCTGACAATGGCTGGACAGGAAGGAAGATAGACATTTAGATGGTTGCATGTGAGATCATGTGAGCACGATGCTTCCTGAAAAGTTTTGTAGACTAAACAAGCGCACTTTGTTGTCAACCTAAACCCTAAACCCTAAACTTTCAGTTCTAAAGCAGTTCCACGGGCACCCCGGATCTTAATCGCTTTGGCATACCCCTATTTTTACAACTCACTCCACAGGTTCTATTTTGTAGGGGTGGTGCTGCTAATAGGTAAAAGGGATTACGGAATGTCACTTCACCTCGGCGCCAGGGGGAAGGGCCTGGCATGTCAGAAAGGGTGAGCCTCTTAGTGTTCTGACCAACCTGCCCAAACACGGGTGGGACACTCCACGATGATCCGACTATCGCCGGTCCCACCGTGCCTCGGCCAGGGAGCCTTTCGCCTCCAATAGCTTCGCGAGATTAAAAACGGTTGATAGGGTGTCCTGGCTTACTGGTCCAAACAGAGCTTCACGGCCTTCTAAAGCTCTCCTGTAAAGTTCTGCAGCTTCTATCAGCTTGTCCTGGTCGCCCTGGTCCTTTAGTACCGCCGCTAGGTTGTTCAGTGAGGTCAATGTGTCAGCGTGCATAGCTCCAAGTTGATCTTCACGTCTTTGTAAGGCTCTTCTGAACCAGAGCTCAGCTTCCGCCAGCTTTCCCTGATCCTGCAGCAAGCCTGCAAGATTGTTCACGGAAATGAGCGTGTCAGGATGCGTTGCCCCAAGCCGAGCTTCACATCCTTTTAAATCTCTCCAGAAAAGGGGCTCAGCCTCCTCTTGCTTGCCCTGCTTGTCCAGCAAGAGCGCAAGGTTGCTGACGGATTGCAATGTGTCAGGATGCATTGGCCCGAGAAGCGACTCACGACCTTCCAAAGCCCTTTTGTAGAGCACTTCAGCTTCTCCTAGCTTTTCCGGGGTCCCCTGCTGCGACAAGACCAACCCAAGAATGTTCACCGAATCAAGGGTCTCTTCATGATCAGATCCTAGCTGAGTTTCGCGACCAGCCAAAGCTCTTCTGGACAACCTCTCGGCCTCCGCCAGGTTCCCTGCATCCAACAACATCTCTGCGAGATCCTTCACCTCTCTGAGGGTCTCCAGGTCTTCGTTGCCGCACTGCGCTTCGTAGGCCTCTAGGACCCGCCTTTGCAGCGGTTCCGCTTCAGTGAAGTCACTACGCGCAGCCAGCACCGTCGCTAGCCTTGGTGCCATGGTCCAATTTTTTGGTGATTCTGGATTCCGAGGGAATTCTGACATCAATTGACAATAATATAAATATATTGAAAATTGTTGTGTGACATGACCTGCTATAGCTATAGTCTATAGTAATATCTATACAATGTAAATCAATGTAATATAGCTGTGAAAAAAAAACAAGAAAAAACATGGAAAAAACCAAGGGCCCAGCCGGCTTAACGCCTTGAGGGCTTCAGAATGCTCCGAGCCCAGGCTCTTGGTGATAGCTTCAGCACGGCAGCGGAGCCTTGGCCATAAGAAATAAGAAATAGAGACCAGGATTGCACATCTTTTGTCGTCGCAACGTTGCGACCTTCACATTCAAAGGCCCGAAGGCGAAACTCGTTGTACGTAAGTATAGTTCTCCAACCCAACCCGACACCGACAGTCTAGTACTATAAGATATCAGAATGCATGCCAATTATTTGTTTTGGACGCTTTTGCTTGACTATAGGCAAAAAATGTAACTTGCCGCACAACCCTGGCAAGGCAAATCAGTAAAATCCTGGAACTGACCTGGAGAGTCACAAGGCAAAATAACATCACCACCATCGACAGAATACGCAAGAATGCTTACTCATCATTCCACAACAGTGTGCTTGTGCGATGCTGTCGCTTCAGCTACTTGACTCGCCGTTTCCCGGTGGCGCGCAAAAGCACCTAAGCAGCCTAGGCAACAAACACCCAATTCTTACAGGATGTGCCACCTCTCTGCTGGACCATATAGCAACATAGGATCGGATAGAAACACCCCGCCAATAGTTGTCAATTAACCGTATGCAATTTTGCTTACACTTTTAAGGAATTCCTTGAAGCATGGCGACCCCTGAGTGTGGAATGTAGCTGAATTGCTGGTTTCTCATTGCAAGCAAGCCTCGATTTTACCAGCACTGCACTGGCGTTTGCAACCGCCTCCTCCCTTTCCACTCGAATGACGATACATTGTCGATGTGGCATGCCATCTTCGTTGAGCAGCTTTCCAGCTAAGTTCCTTAAACGCGAACTTCGCTCCAAAAATCATTAATATTAATATCAGATGCAAACTAGGTGCCCGGCACACCAGGGGGCTTCCCCTGTGAAGAAACCAAATACTTGCAGGAAGCACACAATAATGATTTGCACTCTTCAAAAAGCAACCATTTCCAAACTAGCTATATAAAAGAAGTACACATTGCAGTTTGAATCCGCCCCGCCTGCTCGACCATTTCAGGCGTTTGTCTCTTGGACACATCATAGGCGATAGAGGCATTTACTAGAATAGGAATGCAAAAGGCAACCCGCGAGCTGTATTCCTACGTGAGCAAGAGCAAAGGGCACATGTATCGCGCAAGGTGTTTTACCTTTACTATTCTTAGTCTTCTGGTTAAATGTACAAAAACAATTCTGAGTCTTTTGGTTAAATTTAACGGGCAAAAAAACATAATGCAGGAAAACACAGGAGCCCTCCTCCATGGCTGCCTCACGACCATTCAGCTGGATATCCCTCTTGAGCATATTGCGGTAGTTGTTGTCGATAAGTGCTTCAATTTCTGGCCACTCATCTGGGGGATTCTGTACGGAGTACACTCCTGGCCAGCGCAACTCTCTTGCGCAAAAGAATTGAGACTGCATCCCTGTGTCAATTTCAGCAATTTCAGGGGTGACGTTAGTGTCAGCCATTCTGCGTTAATAGAACTGAGTGCACCCCAATTCTCTCGATAAAATTGCAGAACATAGATCTATAGAATGGCATGCGCCTGAAACCAGGCCAAACGAAGCCTGGAAAATAGCTGATGGTCAAAATTCGAGAAGCTAAGCTTCCTGAGAGATGCTTGAATTACCATTGAACCTCAGAACTCACTTTATAGGACATTTTCAGCCAGTCTGAACATCCTTGGAAAGAGAAAGGGCTGGTGCCTGTAGAATGAACCAACGTCTTGGTAAAATGCTCACCGCAAGGTCTCTTGCTGCAATTTGGAAGGCCCTGACATCACCAAAAATGCTGCTTTTCTATAGTATAACACTTTAGTGGAATCCACACCAGGATGAGAGTGAGCCTTCCAAAGTTGTTTGTCAGGCCTTAATCTTTGCACGACGACGAGACACCCTGTTGACTTTCTGGCGCATGCATTCAGAGGCCCTTGCAAGGGTTCTTACTCGTTTGCGGACTTTCAAAATGCAAGTGTCCATCTGAGGGTATCGGGCATAAAATGTGTTGGTCTCAAACATTTGTTCATCATATCAGCACTAATTGGCTGGCCCTGTAGCTGTTTTGCGTGTGGGTTGGTTAAGGTTCACCTGAACCTGGAAGTCGCCATGAAGCGTGGGCCAGTGAAGATACCACGGGGAATGCAGGATTACCTATTGGGCTCCATCCTGAACCAACGGATCCAGAATGAACCGTGGAAGGACTTTATGAGCTATTGAGCATTCTTCGATTTCTGCAATTGAGGATTTATAGTGCCTGTATTTTACAGGAGTGGAATTTGGGCCATGACCTTATCAAGAGTTGCATGGTTTTACAATAACAAAGCAAAGCGGATTTGTGAAGTTTGAAGGGAGCAATCACTTTGCTAGGATTTGCGGGGGGCAACGCGGGAAACGGAGATGCACTGACTGCTTCAAGCGCACAAACAAGGAACTAGGACCGTGTTTCCATTATGTAATTTTTGAAATATCTTCTCCACACACGATGTCAGAAAAATGTCCATTGCAAAGCACACCTCACGTCACTGACCTCAAGAGACTCACCAACCTTCTACCACAATCTCAGTGCACAGTGCACGTGGGTGGGGTGTGAGATGTTGTCTGTACAACCCGCATCATCAAATCAACCCAACAATATCCTGCAAAATTACCACTTTTGGGATCCCCGTTGATACCGGAATTTGAGGTCAGCGCACCCCATTAATATCCACATTTGTGACGTAAAGTTACTTTGACAAATCAAGGTTTTTCAAGTCATGTTGTGTGATAAATGTTTACACAACTCCATTATCGTCAAAGTAATCTAGTGCCCTGGACGGAAACCGAGTCATGAAACATTCATGAAATACATAACAAAGCCAAGCAACATAAAATGACTAGATCAACCTCTTTTGACGACATTACATCATTTGCGTTTGAGGCTGTGGCGATCCACTTGCCATCAAGGAAAAATTGCCAGCATCAGTGCCCATTTGGCTGCAAAGTGTTTTTACCATCAGATTGCTTAATTAACCTGATAAAAAGTTTTATACATGCCTCCTAAAACAATTATGTCGCGCTCATCAGGGTTTTACCCTCGCGTGAAGGTGTTTAAAAAAATGTTCCTTTTTATATACACCATCTCGTCTCTTTCAATATTCTTCCTTCACAGCACTCATCCATCGTGTTGCTTTTCAGTTATTTTACAGTACTTCAAGCAAATTATGAAAGAAAGAAAGAAACCACCAAAATAAAGGTAGTGCGGTGTCAAACCATCAAATGGGAAAACTTGCAACATTATGGTACTTACAACAAATTGCCCGAAGAGAACTGAGAATAGGAACTAATCAAGTACCCTATGGGAGAGGTGAACGTGACCACACAGTAAGGACTAACCTTTTTCAGTTTTCTCTACCATTCTAGATTAGATTGATGAGAACTGACGTTTTTAAACCTTTTTGAAGCCTAATGACTTGAAAAACCTTTGGTTTGTGAAAATCATTTTAGATCACCTAGTTTGGATTATTTTGGTATAAAGTGGGGTGTGCTGACCTCACTTTCTGGTAGCAACAGAGATGGAAATGCCGTACACTCGCTCTCTCGTTTCTCTCATAGGTAGGGCGTGACATTCAAACAAATGAACATTGCAAATGAGGCTTCTCATGTTTGCTTCGCTATCGTTTTTCATCGCGTTTTGGGTTATATACATGTTCTAATACTATCTCTTCAGGTGTTTTTTTCTTTCATTATACTGGAGCCAAATCATTTATGCGAGCGCTTCTTCGTCAAGGAAGCTCCCCCGAGGAGAGCTTCCTTGAAGAAGCGTGAGCTACCCTGCGTCATACCTAGAAGCTAACCCGCCTACAGTACTTATTTATTAAATAAGAGCGGGCTGAAAACAAACAATTGCTTCGTGGGCCCCCCTGATGCTGCCCAAAATCAAGAATCAAGCGAAATCAATGCTTTTGAATAAGACTTTTAGTAATGAATTTTGCAGCCTTCAAAACACAAACAATTAGTAAATTAAAATTGAAAGAACGTGGTCGACCACGCTCATTTTGAGAAGTCGGTAGCAGCGGGGATGGTATGGCAGATTTCCACAGGCTCAGGTGCAAGATGCTTATCCGTTGAGAATCTTTGATACATTCATTCTATTTGCACACGTCTTTGCCTGACTATATTTGAGGGTAGTTTACTCACCTGGCCTGTATTGCAGGTGTGTTGTGTCTGGAGATAACAAGCGCATGGTTTTGAATCCTCGTGACTGAGAAACGCCCGAAGAATGTGTGCGGTTTGTGCACTGGTGTTGGCTAGAGCAGTGCAATTTCCATTGCCATCAAATTTGTAGTTGTCACAAATTGCACATTCAAGGCAGTCATGCGCGGCATTTACTGCACATGGGTGGAAGTACAGTAATAAAAATATGTAATTGGGAGGGTGGATTCAGTATGATTCAGTGATGTTTGCCGTTGGCAATCCCTTTCTCTATAGTGAATCAGGGGATTTCATTTCATGGAACTCATAAGTTCAGGGTTGAGTAGGGACCTTGAAAATCAAGAGGGCAGCTCCAAGAGACTGTACGTACCAACGGGACAGGAATTTGCAGCTTTTGGGATCTTTTGGGTGTGTTTCAGGCAGTGAAGACATCGGCTCAGGATAACCATGCCCGAGTTTTGTAAGGTAAAGGCCTGGTTTTGGACAAACTGCTCACAAAACTTGGACAATCATGATGAGGATATACGAGGATGATGGTGGGAACCATGGTGGTGAAGCCGGTCAGGATGCGATGTGCTAGGCGGATATGCTTTCAAGGTTGCTGGAGGAGAAGTGTGTGGTGGAACCCTCTCAGAAGCAGCAACGTGTGGAACCTGGTCCCAGCTCCAGTAATGCTGCATTCCCAACGTCTTCGAACAATGGACCATCAAATGGCTGAACCCTTGGATCTTGCGGCCGAACTACCTCCTGGCTGCCGACTTGGGTTTAGCAAGGCCAACTACACCGCAATCATGACGACTGTACTATACGACACTGGGGTGGATGGCGCATACTGCTACGGGGTAGGAGAACCTGCAATAAGTCGTTTGACAAATGGATGCCTGATCTAGCGTTAGATCCTATTAAATAATTATTATCTACACTCTACACCATCGATGGAAGCAGCCAGTCCTGCCTTGCCCCCACCAGGCGTTGGCCTTCTCACCCTGCGTTATCAAGGAAGCCTCTGGATATGCGAACGCCGGAAGTTGACGAAGCGGGACGGATTGAATGCATGACCTTGACTTGTACTGTACCTGAAAATTCATTCGATGCTGAGGGCAAAGCGAAGACTTCCACCGCTGCCTTTCTGGGATCTGTGATGTTTCTAAAGCCAAGCTCAGCAGTGTAGTGGAACAAACACTGCACATCGCTGGCACCACTGGCTAGAGTGAGGTCAAGGGCATCCTGCCAAACCTGAGAGGAACTGCCGCAGTTTCCGAGCTCGGCAAGTGCGAAGGTGTGTCAAAGAGAAACAAATCCTATGTAAAAAGTGATTTCCAACGGCACCTTCACGCCCAGTCTGGTGTGGACCCAGCACCAGGCTTTCGCGTCATGCTCGTAGTCTTCATTGTTGAAAACACCGCCTTGCTTGTAGCCATTCTCAAAGTATTCCCTGAGAGAGGCCTGGTGCGGTCAGTGAGACACCTTCACAAAACAGTTGCAAGAAAACTGCCTGGATTTCTGTACACTCTTGAACACCTACAGAATTTGAGAGTCACACACCCAGGAGCACAGCGGCCGCAAGCGGGCTATCAACGGTGTTTGCAAAGGCCCAATGACAAGGACGTCAAGTTTAGATTGGAATTGGAATGATGTGCAAATCGAGTAAAAAACACCAATGAAACAGCTTGTCGTCCAACTCCAGGCATCTTCTGGTATCTATGTCGTGAAACTGGCAGAAAAGGTGGAGGTTCACTTGGCAAAAAGCCTAAACTCCAAGGACTAATAAAGATCTTGCGCCTGCACATCACCCTTGACACAATTATCATGGCGCCGGCAAACAATGTCTGACCGGCACCCACCTGGCTATGTTCCAAAACTTCTTCCTCCTTCGCTTCTCCCAGGATGGTTTCATCTTGCGCCTCGTAGAATCAAGCCGGCGTGTCAGTGGGAGAAGTGTTACACACGTGGATTTACAAGAAATAGGTGGGTTCATTCTCTGGCTACAGTTGATAGGACATCTTCTCTAAATCTGTCCTGGCTGTACCAAGACCCATCAACAACGAAATGCACACTGAGTAAGTGCACGGCTAGTTGCACCTGTTGGAATGACTGACATGCTTAAAATGCATTGTAGAATGCAACCATGAGTACAAGTTGGTAGTCGCATCTGTCGTAAGAACTCGTTGTCACACAACTTCTGCCCTGAGCTGAGCAAACCAAACTTGCCCATGCCGCTGCCTGTTCAACCAACCCTTAAATTAGATTGTATTCCCGTAGTACGACCATCGAGAGCAGTATGTGAACCAGACTCTCGAAGCAAGCTTAAACGCAACAACTGACAAGTTCAAGCGCCTGAGCCAAAGCACTAGACCCGGCATCTTCTCGTGTCTTTCCTCTCATGGTGTCCTCCTCCTTGCCCGGAAAGGAGCGAACGAGTATATTGTTTTGTTTTTTTTCCCATGGTTGGATACCTGAGCCTAAGCCTTTTGACACAAGTACGAGTACTGTTTATGGGAAAGGGATGAACACTTTTGTTTTGGGGAACCCAAGTCCTTGAACGCCTTGAAAGACCTTGAGTGGAACACTTGCTTCCTAACAACGGTCTCACCTTGGAATTCGCCCAACTCCCCACCGATTGCCAGGTTACACCGGGCCTCGGGACCCAAAAGGAAGGCAACGATCTGCCGATAGTCATAGCCTTCACCTCGGAGGCGCAGCCAAGTTAGAAGCTTTCGAAGAGGCTGTTTTGTGCCAAGGCTTAGTGGGGGGTTGAACAGAACCTATGAAGTCAGACCTTATCCCTCTTCATTTTGCCCTTTAGGGAATGCAACATCACAGAAAATGATGGGTATATAGGTGTAATTGGTTTCAATTGTGCCCTGATGGCGGAGGGATGTCCCAGATTTGCTACCAAAGTGGCTCAAGGCATAGATTCGATAGGCAAACAGCAAACCGATGTGTTTCAAGTGTCCTGCTTTGGGTTGTCGTTTGGGGCCCACGTATTTGCCCAAACCGAACCTATGCAGTGTCGAGCAAGCACAGCCTAGCCAACACTCCATGCTGCTTTGGGTTGAGATTCCAATCCAATCTGTCACTGTTGATAGCAAAAAGACTCAAAACCGGTTGGTTCCTGTGCCCTTTTCAATTTTCCTAGGCCAAGCAGCTAGTTTGTGGCACATTCTTCAGCATGTCCTAGGCAAGACTGGCAACTTTGTTCAACAAAAATGCGCTTGCAATGGAATACCACATCATTACGTTTCTGACCAAAGTGATGGATACTGTAGTCTCCTCCAGCATCTCCTCGGAAAAGTGATTGCCTGTGCCGCCATCTGCACTCTTCCCCCAGAAACAAACAATTGATGATCATTTAACATAACACATATGATTTTCACAAAACAATCACAAGTTCACAACACCCACCTTGCAAGGTTACAATGTGGCTTCATCCCAATTCTTCTGAACTCGTCGCACTGGCTTCGTCGCAAAACCCGAGGTCTAGCAATGCCTAAATCGACCTGAAGTCCTCGCCTCCATGCTCCATGATCTCTGCAAGGGTCGCACGCGGCACAAAGCCTTGCTTGTGCAAGCGATGGTGCATTTGAAGGCTTGTCTAATAGACACACCAAAAACGGCTCACATGAAACCGTGAGCCGTGAACCTGAACACATCTCAACAACCTCTTGTTCTACAAGAAACATAATTGTATAATTGTATATAGTTTACAACTACAAACACAATTTCCTATAGGTCCATCTTTTCTGATTTCAACGGCTCCGTTTTGGCAATGGGTCTTAGCAGGGCGCAATTGGATCCCATGCATCAGAAGTTTACAAACATAAAAGCAAACATCACAGGCCTACTCTGCAAGCATGTTGCATTTCCCTCATGGACGTCTACAGTTTGCCTATGATCAACTAAGTTCAACAGCGTTTTTGCACGCAACCACAAAACCATGCCAGGTGTCCGATGTTGCGTGGGTCGAAAACTTGGAAGCAACGAAGAAGTTCCTGCACCTGGCAACTCTATGGAACCGATGTGCAACCAAGTTGGCGAACTCTCCATGATGGGATGGGTCGGTCACTCAAAAACAATCCCCCTTGGTTGTCCCGGTGACGCTCAACCACTAGATGTCATAAAGAATCCCTGGGGGAATCTCATGTTATGACAAGTGTGTTTTCCTGTGCCTACAGAGTCATGGAACAAAATTATTTCTATTGTCCGAGTGTGTCAAGAACCGTCATGAATGGCATCAATCCAAACATTTTCCTAGGACATTTGGTGAACGCAACTTGGTTTCTGATGTTTCCGTATACTTTCCCGAGTTCAGGGGCAGTCAAGGGTGTTCTTTCTTTATGTGATAATTGTCATAGCATGACACGTCACTACACAAACAGAGATGATGCACCGAACCCGGCAGTGGCCCGACTCTGCTGCCGAGATGGTAGCGGAGGTGGCCAAAGTGCCAGCTCGGCATGTCCACTTGTTTCCCATGGCGCTCAGGAAGGATCATGAAGGTAGTGATGGTCATGGTGGACGGCCTCGAGCTTGGCAAGGGCAACATCTAGGACCAGGAGAAGGTGGAGATGATGGATGACTTCATCGTGCAGGACATGGGCTTCATGACGAACGACAACGGATGCTGGCACGAATTACGCCCGCTGCCCGCTATCAGGATTGGAGCCTCATGAGCACTCGAACTCGAGATGGCCGCAATATGAGGTGGATTGGAACTACCAGGATCTTGTAACTCAAGGACTTCATCTTCACAAATGGTACCACAATGGAAAATTAAGATGCAGTGGATTGGAACCACTTGGCCTGACAGGAAGGACTTGGAGTTGGCTGGAAGCTGACGTTCGGGATTGGTACTTGGACTTCCAGGGCTTCATCTGAATCTGGTCAGGGATTGGCACCCCGACTACTTCGATGTGAATGAGTTCTTCCAGATCGACAAGGACATGATTCTCGAGACACTCAAGGTGATGGTATGTGGAATGTTCCTGGTTGGCATGATGTTCATAGCTTTCAGATGAAGGAACCCAATTACACCCAGATCGACGTCGAAGATGAGAACTTCAAAGATGGGCCCCTTGAGCAAAGAGAATCAAAGATGGAATGGAAGCTTGAGGAAACGCTTCGAGAAACAACTTCAGTTTAAGACTTTTGCTGTTTTGCCTCTTGTATCTGGAGAGGCTACGCAACTTCTAAGCAGGATTATGGATATCAGCCAGGCTGCAACTTTGGCGGCACACGCCTCTTCGAATGCTTTGGAGAAGATTGAAAGCAACAACAACAAGAAAGGAGGATTTGGCGATGCTTCCAAAGTGTTGCCGCAGCTACAAATATTTGATGTGGGCGACCCCCCAAGTTTTCAGCATGGTGCGAATTGGCTGATCTATGGCGACAACCAGTGCAATGACTTGATCAAGAGATGTAAGGAGATGGATGAGCTGTGTCTGATTGTTGACTGTTGACATGGTGCTTGAGGCCAAGGAATTGAGCAGAAGGCTGTACGCCATTCTGTCATCGAATATGAAAGGACCTCCAGCCCAGGTCATTCGAGCTCGCGCATCTGACAAGAACGGATTTGGTGCATGGCAACAGCTGAAGCACCTCTACATGCCCAAGGCGAGACCCCGCACAATGGCCATTGACAATCTACCATGTCCCACAGTGTTTGCGGCAGGGAAGAGCATGCTGGAGAATCTTTTGCAGTTGGACTTACTGATGGATCAGTATCGGCTTGCTTCAAGCCGTGGCACGCCTGATGATCGTGGTGGCAACAGTGGCATTCGACGGCATGTGGAGATGACCTTGCATGACTCCTGGACTGAAGCTGATCCTCATGGAGAAGCTGATCCTCATGGACCTCGAAAACCTGGTCAGGTGACACCTACCTTGAGATGGTTCAGAACTCGATGACCTCTAGCAACAGTGGACAGGCGCTCATGGATGTGGACAACATGGCGCAGGTTGGCAAGAGCAAGGCAAGAAGGGCAAAGGAAAGAAAGGTGTTTGGTCTCCTTTTGGAGGCTGTAGTGGCAAAACAGGAGGAGAGTCACAGAAAGGCAAGGGCAAGAAAGGTAAAGGCAAGCAAGGCAAGGAGGGTAAATGAAAGTATCATCAAGGACACGATAGGAAACGGCTAAGCTGGCAACAACGCCTGCTGCATTTGTGGCCGAGGCCATTGGGGTAAGGAATGCCCAAAGAGGAACCAGTCTGTGTCAAATGTGACCCAGCAGAACTCAAACACAATGACCACGGCTTCAAGTGAGATTGCAAGTTCAGCCGGTGGCAAACTTCGTGGTGGTGGTTCTTCAGTATAGCTTCAACCACGGCTACACGTGCGCAAGTTCGACAAGTCAGGATATTTCATGTGGCCACACCACGAGATGAAGTGACAACACCCATGATGTATGACATCAGAAGCGATGGTGGCGAGAGTTGGCTCTATGATTAAGCTTACCAAGTGAACGTGGTGGCCTTTGTCTTGGAGGAGGATCTGGACATGATGTCAGAGTTCGATCAGTTTGATTTTTTGGACATGATGTCAGTTTGATTTTTTTGCATGACAAAATGAACCAATGGTACTGGAATCTACACCCACGCTGCTACATCCTCAAGGGCAGCAAACAAAGAAGCCTGAAGTGTTCCAGGTGGGGATGGTTCAAGAGTCCAAAGAGATGAACCTGATTGTGCTGGACTCTAGTGCTGACATCAGTTTGCTTCGTCACTCAATGACTTAATGTCTGGCAAAACACGAACTGCAACTCTTTTGGCAGAGAAGTGTTGACTCAAGGCTCACGGCTTGCCACGTATGGATGAAAGCTGGCACAGGAGGAACGCGATGCAGGAAAGAGTGGCACTGTCATCATTGAAGATGATTTCGTGGTAGTTTCAGTGCAATCACCTTTTGTGAACTTGGGACGTTTGTTGCAAAGGGACTGAAACATAAGGAAACATGAAAAACAAAGGGTCTAAAGGTTGGAACAGCAAAATACTATTTAACACAACAACTAAATGACAAAACAAATGCAGTACCGTATTTGGGCTAAGTGCCGGGAACATGAACCTATGGGTTCAACTTTCTGTGAGGTTTTCTTTTGCCAATTCTGCCAAGTCTGTGTGGGTTGATGATCACCACCCAACATCACCTCACAGACCTCTCGTCCACCCAAACCTTCAGCGCCTGATCCCTTGAAGACCACTTTGCAATCTCCTCCTGTCTGACACTCCACACAAAGCCGGCAAGCACGCCAAAACTGGAAGTCGGGCATCGGTCAAAACAAGTTATGCAACTTGAAACAAACTCAGGAGAACAGCGTCCGTTAAAATATCAGGGTCGATATCTTCAGTCCTTGGAGCAAGCTTTCGCAAGCTTTAGACTTTGGAGAGGGGAAGTTTCGCAAGCAAGCTTTTGTCAGCTATGTTGAGCAAAAACTTTTGTAAGCCAATGCATCTGGCAGTGGATGAAGCATGTCTCCTTTGTCACACAGTATCGTTTTCTAAGGTTTTCCCATGAAACTATTTTTCAAGATTCTATAATATATATAATCCGTTTTTGGGGACTCTGAGGCTTCAATGGGAGCCCCTTTGCAGACTTGAGGTCCTTGCAAGGCCAGATGACCATGCGTGAACTCACCCCATCCCTTTCAATACTAAATGGATAGTGTGAGGTGGGTGCAATGGTCCACCTGCTTGTGTGGCAAGGCGCTTCCACTTCTACCAATGTGGCAGGCACATGCAGGTACAATGCGTTGCAGAAGGGTGGAAGCAATATTGCTGAGTCTGACTCTTTGGCAAGGTTGATGGCCCTCACCACAACTCACTTTTGAAAGGCATCCAAAGGCCTTGGATTGTCAAAGTGCCCTCCCTTCCACCTTCTGCCCTTTTGGGAATGGGAATGGGCATGGGCCTGCCTTCTCTTTTGCAAGTGCTGCGGTCGCGGCACCTTTTGCTGGGGCAATTCCATTCCTTTCCCAAGGTTTGCTGGCCCCTCTTGCAAGGAAGCACCTTCTCCTCGCTCCTTTCATGAGCCCAAGTCACCCACCAAGTCCTCATCGTTGCCCATCACTTGCAGAAGCAAGGACGGGTAAATGTAGGCTAAGCACCTCTGGACATCCTGCGCAGTCCTTGTTTCTTTGCCTTTTACGAGCCAAAACTATCAGTAGAAAGGGATGTCCAAAATCAAAAACACATTCAAAATCATTATATACTGTACTACTGTATTGACATCAACAGTCAACATGTTCATCATGTTCACGAAAATCGTGACATCAAATCACATCACGCAACGAAACTAAACCAATAGGCTGTTTTGGCTTTGATATTGATAATTCAAGGCAATCCAAAGTCACAATTTTTCAAGAGACCAATGATCGTAAGCGACATCGGACGCCCAGTGTGATTGAACTTCAGGATTGGCTTTGTAAAGGCATTGCATGTCGCCACCCGCAGCTAGTTGAAGTATTCTTCAAAGGCGCAGCCCAAGCACCCAAAAATATCAAACCATAACACACGTAACAGGTTGAAAGGAACCTGTTCACCCCAAAGTTTTCCGGTGTCTCCTTCATGACCTGCTTGAAGAGAAGCATCGTCAAGCTCTCTGGACGCCCCAGGTCCGCCAAGACCTTGGAGACCTGCCGGTCGTATGAGACAGCAAAACCAAACCTGTGAGACTCAAGGAGATGCAACGTGCTTGGGATTCTCAAGCTAGGCATGTCTCAAGCCTGAGAAGGGGAGAGCGTCGGCCCACAACTGTGGTGCAGGGAGTCAGGGAAACATCTTTTTGCATCGAGCATGTCCGCACCTGGCAATGGCTGTGGGCGGAAGAAATGGAGGCAGAAAGGACGCAGATGGGAGAGGAAAGAGGAGGAAGTGTGGGAAACGCTTGAGAGGGACTGTCAGAACATGAGGGCCCGAACTAGTGTAAGGTGCCTCTTGTTGCCAAACTTGTTGTTTGGAGCTAGGGTGTTTAAAGTTGGTGGGCTCAGCACGCCGTGACAGAGTGTCTTATGAGTTATGAGTTTGTTGCCAGCTGAAATGTAGGTGGCTTTTGCGTGTGTCTAAGACGTACATGGCACACTCTAAGGATCACAAGGTGTTACTGCGTCTATCTATTGTATTCCTCAAGGCTCAATGGATATAGGTTACAGCTCTAGCGGATAAAAAACACTGCCTGCCTGCGCCTTCACCGGGTGTACGTGGCAGTCATTCTTTCACCCCCACACCCATGATTACTCACCTCGTTCTCAGGAATAACTTCAGCCTAGCCTGTCGGCTGGCTTTCGTAAAGATCATCCATGGAGTTCAGGATTCACCATGATTCACCGACGTTTTGGTGCTCCAGCTGAGCGCCGCCTCTGAGTTGGTGGGGTTCATCCAGGCAATCCGCATGGCATCGGCCAAGTGCGAGGCGTTCATCACTGCCGCGTGAGGCTCCTGAAGATGCTGGACATGTTGCAAGTAAATTGAAAAAAAAACAACACCATTAAACAAAAACAGAGTTGCAGCGTTTCGGTGCTCAAGCTGTGCTGAAAAGCGTAGAAATCATCTGCAACATCTGACGGCTGACAAGGCTTCTAGTATCAGGTCATGATTCAGGAAGTCTCCTGTTAATTAGGCCCACGTCTGTGGATGTCAGGGTGTCTAACTCGGCTCAGAATAGGCCCACCAAAATAGAACTGGGTCCCCGCTACTCTCGCTTACTCGCTCTCTCTTTTCATCTCTCTCTCTCTCTTTTTTCCTCTCTCTCTCTCTCTTCCTCCCTCTCCCTCCCACCTTGCAAAAAACCATTCCCAGAGAGCAGTATTTCTAAAGGCCTTGAATTAAAACATAACATTTGGGGTATCCATAGTATCCCAACACAAAGGGTAGACAACCGCAAGGAAACAAAATAAAAAGCATACAAGAAAATCAGTGAGAATTATTTCTAGAAAGGGACCAACCCGTGGGAACGTATTTAAAAGACTTTAGATGAACACACATCCATTTCGTGCATGTGTTCCAATCTGTCAACCCAACGTACAAAAGGGTGTGTAGACAACCCCAAGAAGACAAACCGAAGGTATAAAGCAAAAGGCTGAACTTGATTCTTCTTGGGGCCAGTCCAGTTGACAGTTCAAACATTCTGCTCGGGGATGCCAAAATAGAAAGGCTGAAATGAGTACGGACACCCAGGCGTGTTTTATTTTACCTTGATTTTCCTGCGTCCAACCTTGGGAGCTCAAAAATCACAATGAGACGCATGCATGTTCAAACACCGCTTTGAAAAACGCTCAAAACGAGAGGGCCACACCCCTACCATTTAATTTGGATCACCAATCGGAGACCCGCCACGTTTTTGCTTGTGCATTTTTGGAGCACCTGGTGTTTTTCCCCCTTCCTCGCACCCTTTTACATTACCTTAGATCACCCAAAACGATCCAGAAACCCAAAACCATGATTGCGTTTGATTGGCATTGATGAAAAACAGTCGACAGAACAGCTTCAAGTCCCAAAACATCCCAAAATCAAAAACACAGCTCGTGCCCTGGTCCTGAAACGACTGAAATATCTCCTCAAGCCGAGTCTCAACCTCAACTCCAAACACTGTTTGTCGCAGTAGAGACAAGACCCGCCACAAGATTCGCAGCAAAGGGTGAACAAGGAGACGAAACATGATCTCACCAGGTCAACCCAGGCTTAATGCGGAAGGTTGACAGCACCAGCACTCAGAAGCTCAACTTCTTTCAGTTGTGGTCGCTCCGACACACGACAGAAAAGCAACTGGTGGCCTCGGGAATAAGTGATGTCGAGAGGATCACATGCACCGCTTGTGTTGGCTTAGGGAAGGCATGCGCATAGAACCCCATGGAGAAACACTATCATTGCTGTCCCTCCTGGATCCCCAACGTCAATGCGCCAAGGCGCATCCAGCTCGCCCTTGCTCCACGGGCATATTATGGGTGCAGTCTTAGTATCGAGCTCGAGCTTTCTGGTTCGAGAAATCGTGTTGGTTTTCAGTGGGTTGTATCGGGGGAGCAGTGTGGCCACACGTGCCATGCTTGAAGTTCACTTCAAACTGCGCTGAAGGTTCAGGCCCGTGCAACAGTGTATGAATTTTGGTACTTGGATCGGCTGGGTCCTTACTAGTGGTTTAACATGTTTAGAAGGTTTGTTAGATATATGTTAAGAAGCAGATAGGAGAAGGGGGAAGAAAAGGAGCGCAAGCAGAAAGAGAAAGAAGAGGAGCGAGAGAGGGTGAGGAAAGAGAAAGAACCCTCAAAGACAAAGTAGCCCCAGCAAAGAAGGCATGTAATTAATCTTAGATGAGCTGACCTTGCATGCATTCCCGATTAACGCATGTTGCATGCTGCAGAGAACTGTGCAGCATCCAAACTTTATATTCCAAAAAGGAGCAAAAGACATAGATTGTTGCAGCAATCCATGCAAAGTTGCATTGCCAGGTCCTTGGCAGGGAAACTCTCTGAAATCAGCGAGAAGGTGAAGGAGTGAACTGTCGTTTTCCCAGCTAGACTAAACGATCGATGCACCAAATACCAAATTTAAAGTCTTTCAATGCATCCAAACCTTTTCACAACGGAGTTTCCTTTTGGTTGGCAAAATAATCAAGGCCAAAAGAGGTCGGGGAGCCCATCAGCAAGAACTTTGAGCGACACAACAAAAACCTTGGTCTTCCCGGGACAGTTTACAAAAGCTCACCGGTTTGGACAACTATGAGGACATCCGTCCTACAGCTCAAGGTAGTCTAACAATCAAAGTACTTTGAACGTGACGAAGTCAAGTGGTTTGCAAATCAATGTGTAGTATCAGCAGCATGTTAAAAACTCATGTGACTGCTTTCTAACACAGCCCTTCCCTTTCACTCACTCTTGAGCTGTCGTGCTTGCGGCCTGTAAAGACCAGGTTTCTTCGTCTCAACATGTGCTTTCACATGGAGGTATTAGTGACACATCTCTTGACTGAAACGTGTTACACTCCTCCTTTGGACACGACGCTTTGAAGTCGTTTCCAACAAAACACTCTCAGCTCTCTGTCAGGTGGGTGTTCACCAGCAGAGATTGCTCTCATGCATTGATTGCTCCTCAGCGCCTTTGCCTTAGTCCAGCAGCTTCTGCTTGGTTCATCTGCTGCTGCAAAGCTTCTCGTTCTGCCACTGCTCTCCTTTGTCTCACGTGGTCCATCCACTCTTTTGTTCCCAAGGCCCAGCCATAGCCTCTTGGGGATTCTGGAATCTCTTCTTCTGGCTCAGGCTCATAGTGAAGTCGCCTGATCAACCATTTTCCACCATCTCTCATCCAGTTGGGGTTCTCGATGAAGTACTCCTCGCCATCTTCAGGGGTGTCGATCGAGAGGTCGAGGAGTCGGTGCATCTGGATTTCACCTGTGTCTGGATTCACCCAGAACACAATGCCAGGCATGTTGTACTCCATGTAGCACTCTGGGTGTTCTCCCAGCTCTTGAAGTAAGCCTGCACGTCGTCGAAGTTCTCGAACTGCGTCCGTCACTTCGTCACCAAGTTCTCCTGCCACGCGTAGAACTTGTTCAGATCCACTGCCTTCAGGTTCTTCAGCAGGTTGGTCATCTGCTGTAGAAGGTTGTTCTTCTTCAGATTCTTCTCCACTCAAGCTTCCAAATCCTCCATGGCGTTCAAGACGTCCATCAATGTCCAGGAAGTACTCTTCTCCAGGAAATGCTTGAGCTCGATGTCGAAGAACTCTGTACGTTGCCATTTCTTGACCAATGGGGTCCCACGTCCATGGCGTCCTCTGTGTCCATGGCGTCCTCTGTGAACTCATCTTCAGTGGGTTCTCCACCAGAGGTGTAGGCTGTCTCGGTGAGGTTCTCGAGTTGTGGTAACTCTTCTTCTTCTTGTCCATCACCTTCTTCTTCTCCTTCAAGTAGTAGGTGGTTGACATCTCCACCTTCAGGTTCATTCCATAGTTCTCCATCACGTTCACTTCCGCGAGCTTCCGGATCATGTCCGGCTGGTTCTCCAAAGAGGTTGAACCTTGTCTGCTTGACCTTTCGTTGCTCTCCTTCTCGGTGAGGATCTTGAGGGGGTGAAGTTTCTTGTTGAAATTCTCCACCTTGAACAGGTCGTAGGTTGAAGTAGTCCCTGAGGTAGAACAGGATGAAGACCACCACATTGAATGCCACCATCATCATGCCTGTCTGCAAGATCTGGTAGCCCATCTCGGTCAGGAGAGACCATGCTCCAATCTAAGCCGAATGAAGCACCATCAGCGCTAAGTCGCAACCTTGCACACTCATCGCCAATCCCATGGCGACAAACAAAACTGCATTTGCCGTGAAAACCATCAGGAAAATTTCACGGTTGCTGTCACTACTGGTCGTCTCTTCGACTTCCATTCCGTTGCCCTGCTGACTCAAAGCCGCCAAAAGCAAACATGTCAGCTGTTGCACTCTTTCAGGTCTGCGTCCTTTGACATGTCGAATCTCTTCTTCTTGGGCTCCAACTCGTGGTCCACCAGCGAACTCCAAATAGCCAATGAGGCCTAGCAAGAATCTCAGTCTCTTGCTGCTGTGACTCTTCGTTCCCAAATCGCTGCTGTTCTCTTTTCCCGGCACAGGTCGAATTGCAGCTTCTCGTTCTTCAACTTTGTGCTGCGCCCACAAAAGTCCAGTGCTTATGTGTCGGGTTCTCTGAACTCCTTGTCGTTGGAGTAGCGCTCGAGCAGAGGAACTGTCAATCCTCAACTCCAAGACCACCTTCATGTTCAGCACGGCCTCCAACATTCGCTTGATGTAGATTCCATCTGCCATGCCACTGACTGCTGAAATGAACTCAGCTTCACAACTTGACAAAGCTATACTTTTCTGGCTCCTGCTTGCACTCCAAAAGAAGATGCCGTTGAGGTACATGTGACTGCATGACATAGATCTCCTTGTAGTCCTGTCCGATGCCCAGTCACTGTCCGTGAAAACTTCAAGTAGGCTCGGATGTTGTGTTGCAGCCATCTTCACATCATCATTACTTTCTCTCATAGCCGAAGCCATTGCAAAGCTCTGCTTCATCTCCTGGACGTAGTCAGCCGTGTGCTTCAAGTAGAGCACCAACTGCTTCAACTCCTTCTGGTCCAGGGTGTCAGGTCCTGTGACCTTCGAAGCCAACTGTCGAACTGCACATTGGATGTCTGGCCTTTCTGTTGACATGTACAGCAAAATGCCAACACATGTTCTGTAGAGGCTCGACTCTTCTTTGGAAAGAGGTTGTCCTTGTAGTCCTTTCTGGAAGGTGCCAGTTGTAGGCGTCTGCTTGCCCTTGTTGACGTGCAGGTTCAACAAGTCTACCAACTTCTTCACATACTTCTGGTCCATCCTCACAGTCATGGAACCAGATCCATCAGAAGCAAAATGCCTCTTGAGGAATGCGCATTGCCCTGCAACCTTAGGTGAACAGGGTCCTTGTACTTGCAGTGTCCATTCCTGCTTTCTGAAGCTATCAAGGAGCTTCTCAACATCTTGTTGACTTCCAACCAGCTGTAGGTCATCAACGTGTGAAGACATCACCAGGGGTGTCCTGCCAACCTTGTAGAAAACCGCGGGGTTTGCAGGATATGGTTGTAACCCTTGGTCTCTTGCCACTTTGCCCAAGTGGTCATACCATGCCTTGGAACCAACTCGTTGTCCAGGAAGACATCGTCCAAGTTCGAAGAACTCGCCATTGCATTCCACATAGACCTTCTCCTCCTGGGGAACCATGAGGTAGGCGTCCTTGACATCGACTGCCCATAATCCAAGTTCTCCTTGGCGCGACTGAACCAAGGCTGCCCACAATTTCACTCCAATTGCATTGCTTGTGGGACTGAACAGATTCTCCATCTCAGGCGAAAGAAACTTGTAGTCTCTGCCAACCAGTCTTGACCGTCTCATCCAGCCAAACTTGCCAGTCTCTTCTTTCAGGCGCCATCTCCAATCGTAGACCTTCTTGGTCGTCAGGAACCTATAGCCCTCAAAGTTGCCACTCTTGGGAATGAGGACTCCCATCTCCTTGAGCCTTGTGATCTCTCTCTCATCTGCCTCCAGCTCCAACTCCGCCAACATCTCTTCAGAGACATCTGGAGGTCCAGCTTCTTCAGATTCCTGCTCGAGGTCAATCTCATTGAACTCGCCCCAGTCATTGAGGTCCACCAAAGGGTATTCGTCCACTTCGACGAACTCCTGCTCGTCCAAAGCCACTTCTTGGATGCCACCTGCAAATGAAGGTGCTGCTGCTAAGCTGCTTGCCATTGGTGAAGACGATGGGGATGTTCTTGGAGGAACTGCAAATTCCACCTTTGCTTTCTTGACCGGCTCTGTTCGTGCACTCTTCGTGGGAGGTTCTTCTTCATGAAGTTCACCATGAGGTCGAAGTTCTCCTTGAGGATGTCGAAGTCCACCAAGTTGTTGAGGAACTTGAGGATGTAGTCCGCCTTGAGGTTCATCACGAACTCCTCCTGCATGTTGCGGGTCTTGCTCTGCATTCTTCATGACCAAATCATCCGGAGGTTCCGTCGGAGTGTACGGGAGGTTCTCCGGCGTGTAGGGAACTGGTTGTTCTTCTCCACCACCCGGCTTCTTGAGCTCAGTCTCCTTCTTCTGCTTGTCCTTCAAGTCCTTGTCATCAAGGTACTCCTCGTCGCTTCCTTCCAGCTCACCAAAAGGTTTTGCCAAGGCTTCTTCTGCTCGTCGTCGTGCATACTCCTCAACTGCTTTGGCCTCATCATCTTGTAGTCCAGGAAAGGTCTGGCTTTCCAGGTTTCTCTTCTTGTCGACCTTGGTCGTGGGACCAAACTTTCGTGAGCTTGCATCATCCCATGGCAATCCATGACAAGCCATGAGGAACTCTGGTTGCCACTCGTCGGCACATCTTCGGACTGCTCTCGTCACAAACAATCCATTTGGCGACAACAGGAAGTTGAGATCTGAATCCATCAACTTACCCACATAGATTCCCTTCCGCCAGGTTGGAACTCCTCGTCGGGTGTTCTTCAGGACTGGAAGTGGTTGTCCATAAACACACGCTCCAAAAGGTGCCAGCTTCCCCGAGTAAGTGCGGGAAGTCACAACTTCAAATGGTGTATTGCCACCAGGTGTAACATGGAACCTGTTGTACAACCATGATGCATGGGCATAGCACCACACAAACAACGGGTGTGAAGCGGGAATCTCAATTCCACATCCAACACGGATGCTTTCCAGCAAAGTGTTGCCTAACCTTCTCACTGTCTGAATTGCTCGTTCTGCAGGGTTGGATGCTGATCTGCCTTGAGGTGAAAACTCTTGTGTTGTCTGAAGTTTCAACAATCTTCTTGCATCAGCCACTGCTTTCATCACCTGCTTCAACGAAGGTTCTTGGTCGCCCTTGATGATCACTTTGTCATAGTCCCTGACAAAGCCACAAATTGCATTGGCACATAGCTTCACGCTTGCACCACCCTTGGCCTTGATTGGCACAGCCAAAATGGCTTTTGACCAATTGTCCACAGCCACCAAGTGCTTGACTTCAGGACTTTCTTTGCGAATCGTGGTGTTCGTTGTCACGTGTCCAAAGCCACTGTAGGACAAACTTGTTCTCGTCGTTCATGACGTTCATTGTCTTTTGACCTTGTTGCTTGGCAGTGTTCACACCAATCTGCAAAAGGAAGGTGTGTCAGCAAATGTTTTTGCTTCTCCTCATCTGTTGGGGCTAGAGGTACTTCTGCTTGTTGAGGTCGTCTTTCCATTGCCCTCTTCTCATTGCGAGCTGCATCAAGTGCTGCTTTTGCTGCTGTTTCTCTCACTGCCACCTGTAGCCTTCTGAAGACCACAGCCTTGCTCCCACTCAAAGGGATTCCAAGGAACTCGCACGCATCTTTCATCACTTTTCTTGAGCTTGTAGTTGTCAACTTCAAGCCATTCACCATCACGAAGTCATCTCCAACTTCGTCGTAGACCAGTTGCTCTGGTTCATGCGGTCCTCCTTGAGGTTCTTCAGCCTGCATCTCTTCAGGAACAGGTTCTGCTTCTCCAGGTAGAAGTCGTGGTTCAGGGGGACCTCCAACTTGTGCATGAAGATCATCTTGTAGAAGTTCAGGAGGGATCTGCTGTCCATAGAGCTCCTGAATTTCATGAGGGAACAATGCCTTCTCATGCACCAAAGTCAGGGTTGTGCATGGTGAGATGCCATCCAGCTCTGACATCTTTCTGTCTATCCAGAACTGCGCGCTCTCCACACAGTCATACTCGCCACTTTCCAACTTCACCAGTGTTGTTCTGCAAGGAAACTGGTGAGGATCATACTTTCTTGAAATGTCTTGGAAAGTGAATGCGTTCTTGACCACCAAAACAGGTGTGCCATCACTCAACTCGTGCCAGCCAGGTTCTTCAGCCATGGCCTTGAGCTCGTCAGACACGTCCATGACATAGCTGACCTTCTCTTCCTCCAAGCCAAAGCTCAGAGTCAGGGTGTTGCGCTGCCACTCCAAAGGGAGGTAGTAGTCACCCTTCTGCAAGTAGAACTTGTCCTTGACATTCTGGATCATCCAGCCTTTCTTCATCCACTTGCCCATTGCCACCAACGGTTGCTTCACGTTGGCCACCACAAAGTTCTCCTTCAGCTTGACAGGTCGTCCATCAGCTGCTACGCAATGCAAAGTCATTGCAACTTTCCCTTCAACAGGGATCATTCTGCCTTGAGCATCTCGAAGCAATGCTCCACCTTGGGCCCTCTTGCCCAAGCTACCCATGTTCATGGGCACCACACTCACATCTGCACCCAAGTCGAGTACAGCGTTGTAGTTCAGGTCCAACTTGCAGATGGCCTGGATCTCAAAGGTCTCAACCTTAGAGTTCTCGAGGGTGATGAAGTCCACGTTCTCGAAGAGGTCGTTGTAGTCCATCATGTAGTTGTTGAGGTCGATCTCCTGGGTGAAGTCATCCTCCACGGTCCAGTAGTCGTCCATGTCGGTCTTGGTGAGGTCAAAGTGCTCAACCATGTCCTCCTCGGTCACCACCATCTGAAAGCCTTCAGTGAAGCTCTCCTCAATGTCAATCTCACCTTCTTCTGCAAGATCAAAAATCTCGCAGGTCTCAACCATGGGAGGTGTCTTGATCTCCCACACCCTTCTCACCGTGCCAGCGCTTCGGTACGAGGTGCTGCTCGGTGCTGTACTTGCTGAAGACGATGAAGTCCTCGTGGAAGGTCCAGAAGGTTGCCCTCCATTTCCTCCATGATCTCCCTGATCATGCCCTTCAACTTGTTGAACTTGTTGGCCACGTTGCCAACACTCCGCAGCTCTGTGGCCAGGTTTGCCACACACAAAGCAAGGTCCTTTAGACTTGCCCTTTCCTTTCTCTTGACTCTTGCCGCCACCTTTTCCTTTGCCCTTCTCAGAAGAGCTTTTGCCTTTGCCTTTGCCCTTTCCTTTGTCACCCTTACCTTTGGGTGAGCCTTTCTTTCCTTTGCCCTTGTCTTTGCCTTTTCCTTTGTGGTCGCCCTTGATGCGATCCACCTCCATTGGCACAATCTGGTTGTGCTCGAGGATCTTGGTGCTTGACCAGGCAGCCGTAGATTGCTCGTAGGCCACCATCGACTCCCTAACCTGTGCATACCGAGTGCCAGGCTTCACATTCAGCTGCAAATGCTGTCGCAGCTGCCCAGGACAACAACGCATAACCGTTGCTATCTTCAAGTTCTCATCCAAGGAGCTTCCTGCCAGTCGTTCATACTCGCCGACCAGCTTCTCGTACTTCATGATCCCCTCCAGGATCTTACCCTTCTCGAACTGCGGAAAGGCCACCAATGCCTGGATGATTCCAAGCTCTCTTTGCCTTGTCTTGGGTTGGAATTCCCGACAAAGCCCTTGCCAGGCTCGAAAGCCATCAGTGTCCGTGACACTCCGGACGATCCGAAGTGGTCGCCCCTTCACAAAGCTGACCAAGTAGGCATACAGCTTCTTCGCTCTCTTCTGAACTTCCTCCTTGTACTCGTTCAACTTCAGGTCCTGCTCCAAGTCCTTCTCCACGTGCTCCAGGTCATTCGTGAACTCCTCCTCAATGAAGGCCAAGTAGCTCTTGAAGAGGAATGACCATTCAGGCCATGTAGACTGCTCCTCATCGACAGTCCCTGGAGACCACACTTCAGGCTTCAAAAGGGTCTTAGGATCGGCCTTGTTGCCGTCCTTCTCTCTCTCCTTCTCTCCAAGCTTTTGGAGAGTCTGGGCGCACACTCTCGTGAACCCGTGGAGCTCGGTCACTACCTGCTCCATGCTCGTCATGAGGCTTCAGCCTCCTCTTCCAGCGAACTTGCCCTCCAGGAAGCCACTGGCTCTGATTGCACCGCCGCCAGCTGCGCTGCTGTGAAGCTGCCAGCTGCTCTGCTCTGCCGCCACCTATGGCGACGAAAGGGCTCTTGAGGATCGGGTCCTGTCCTCACGGGATCGGGTCCTGTCCCTGGAGCTCACCGGAGACGCAAGCGAATCCTGATCACAGCTCCGCTACCATCTAACACAGCTCTTCCCTTTCAATCACTCTTGAGCTGTCGTGCTTGCGGCCTGTAAAGACCAGGTTTCTTCGTCTCAACATGTGCTTTCACATGGAGGTATTAGTGACACATCTCTTGACTGAAACGTGTTACACAAATCAATGTGTAGTATCAGCAGCATGTTAAAAACTCATGTGACTGCTTGCGGCCATCGACTTCTTTCTGCCTCGCAGGAGGCTCCGTGTGCAAAGGCAATGCGCTCTGCTGAAAAGGCTTTGGAGGACTATAGAACATTTTTGGATAATGTGCGTCTGCCCTAAATTTTGCCCAGCCCACTGCACTTTGCATCTGGGATTCCGAATGATGGATGGCAGGATGCCGCCAATTTGCCTTAGCTGCTCTCATGTATTGTTTTATGCTCAAACCTCTTGCCATGAAATCCGTTTGCTGGCTGTTGGATATGCTGCATGGTGTATTTCTCGGAAATACCAAACGTAACATCAATTGACAACTAGGGGCCCAGTACAATTGGAGGCTGCGATCACCTACATCGCATGGGCTGCCAAACACTGGTGATTACAATATAACGTAGTGCCAAGCCCAGTTCTTGCTTTGGAACGGGGAATGCATCCACATATGGCTGCCACCATGTTAGTGAACACATGAACTTGGAAGCCTGAGTGTTGAGAGCTCTCTTGTTGGCCCCGGGTGGATCGGGGTTCAACCAGAGCTGGAGTGGCAAGGCCTTCAGGGAAAAATGCGTATCAAACACTCAGATCAGGTGAGAGTGGGCTAGCTGTGATTCATCAAAACCTGCCGTGTGGCTGAACTGCGCAGGTGCTACACCGACAAATCCCCGAAGTTGGTGGATGAAGTCCAATCCGGAGCTACTTGGCCTTGTTTTTCAGGAGTCCCACTATGCACTCCTGATTTGATCCTGGTGGGTGATCTCATGTGATTTAAACACGTAGAGTGCCGTGCATGCATGTGCTGAGTAAAATGTGCACGGTACTATTGATCGCTTAGGCACAAGCTTAGGCCAGCAGCGCTGAAGCAGCCATCAGGCGTGCGCAAGCACACATGGAGGACTACATGGCTCACCACTGCCGGCCAGTGTGAGCTAGACTGATATAAATGTCTTTAAGGTTTGGCACGGTTTTTTGCCTTCAATTCCAATGAGGTATTGCACATGATGCTATGATAGCAGCCAGTTGGATGTACTTATATACCTGTCTTGTCGAAATGAGGCTGGCGCACAGAGATTTTCGAGTAGTACATGCATGGGCTGGATTGGGACAATTTTGCAACAGGACAGTGGTGGCTTATGTCATCCTCTTAGCCAACGTGTTGGCACCTATTCCACCAAAGGGCGGAGTAGCACGCGGAAACTGTTGCGCTGTAGCGATTTGAACTTGGTGTCTTGATCTGAAATCGAAAGTTGATTGTTAATGTTGATGTGGATTGATGGAATGTTTTGGGGCCACTTTCTGTGGTGCACAGGGTTGCATACTTGGAGCCGCGAATGCTCTCATTGCCTAGCAAAGCCGCCAAAGCTCCAAATGGCTACAATGAGATGGGAGATATCCCCTTTTTAGAGCCACACATGGTATTTCATCAGCTGTGTACCAACATTGGGTTGGATGTGCCACCCGGAAAAGTGCGCAACTCTGGAGAACACACAGGGATGAAATCAAGGAACCTTGGGCTACCAGTTTATGGTGACGGAGCCCGGATATTGGATGACGGGACAAAAATTGTTGGGTTATTCGTTTCTATGCCAGCAGTGTGGAGACCTCCTTCCAGCCGGTTCGCGTTGGTGCATATGGGCGTTAGAAGAACACAAGCTTTTTGCGCGGTGTTATATCCTTTTGAATTTGATCTCGGTATATCGCCTTGGCAAAGGATGCCATCAGGCCCTGATCTCGACGGAGTTGACATGTCGTTTGCTGAATGCATGCCTGCACACATGGTTTGGCAAAAGATGTTGTCACAGTTGTCACACATGTCAAACGTGTTGGACTTTCGAGAGGAAGGGACAAGACCTCTACAGGTTGAGGCCAAAGATCCATGCACCTTGGATTGTGAGCACGCGAGTGTCTTTACTCTGTCACGCAACTGTGCAATACAGAGTGTGCAGTCTGAGCTAGCTGAGATGGTGATTCATCTTGCAGAAAGAACTACAGGTGATCATTGTCTTCAACTATGAAGATACAAGTAGGATGAAACACCTTAATTAAGTGACCCTTGATTGCAATGTGTTTTTCCTCCTGCACAGCATGTGTCCTACTAACCTGGCCATTGCATCTTAAAGCTTCACAGTTCTGTTCCCTGTACGCTAGAGGTGTAAGCCGACGGGCCCATGCTATGTTTCGCTCAAAATGGGTCATGTATATGACGAAGCTCAATGCAAAGCAAAATCAAAGCGTTTCTTGGCTCTGCGTACATGCCTTTTGTCGTGTTCTTGTCAGGATTTGTTCCATGCCTCCTGGCACTATTTTTCATCTAAGATTGAACCAATCTTCAAAGCGAAAGGCTGTGAAGCACAGAACGTGAGAAGAAAAAGGTTGATTTTGAGAGGTAACGTCATTCTGCACTCTCAAAGGCTGGCAAGGTCCTTTTGCATTCCGTCGATTCCAACCTACGTACTTGACGTGATCCTTTTGATCGATTGGCTCGATGGCGGACTCCCGAGCCAAGCGACCAAGATCTAAGGACATTAGCGAACAAAACACTTCGTCCAAGAGGCGCCCTCTCTGAGGGCACCGGTCTCCAAAGAGGGTCCATGTGACGCCAAGCCGAGGAGGCTTGAGAAATGCTGCGGGTAGAAAATGGCAGATCATCTTCTGATCGGAAAAAACAACAATAGCTGCTCCACCGAAGCACCTGACAGCACAGGGTCACACGGCCAGACAGTCTGGACTTTGTCTGAACGCTGTGGGGGATCGGCCAATCTCATGGAGATGGCGGAAAAGCCCCACCTGACAGGTGCAGGCAGGGCCCCAAAGGGCCCAAGGGTGGTGCTGTGCCTGAAAACGACCGGAGGTCGAAGGCCCCAAGGAATTAATGTGATTGGTTAGATGTAATTAGGCAAGTGCCGGCAAGACACCAGAACATACAAACACCGATCTTGCTGCTTGTGGGAAGCTCCAATCGCAGTTCCCTTTCTTTGGACAGAAGAAAAACACCCACAACTTCTCCTCAAGTCACTCTTGAACCAAACATACAGGAGCTGCAGTGGAGTGTCTATATAATTGAACCATATTGAACCAAATTTGTTCTGTCGACAGGTTCCCCGCTGTGGTGATGCTCTTGGGAGCCCTGGGGGCCATGACCTGGTAACAGTCACTCTTGGTTTCTTTCAGCACTCAGCACCAATAAGATTTAGACCAAAACCTCTGATTTATGGCTCTTTTCGCATCTTATCATCACTTCACCAAGGCTAAAACAAGGCTGTTGGCACGAACACAAACTGCACGATAAAAAGGCCAAAGCAACATCAAAAGCAACGTCAAGCTCGCTCAAAACGCGTCTGCAAGTGCATCAGAGATCCAGCCCGCTGGCTTCGGTTCCTGCTCCTTGGCTGGAGCCGGTCCAAGAGGAGGCAAATTTTGCTGGTGAGGAGCTGTGGAGGCAGCAGCTCCTCTTCCAGGAAGGGGGCCACAGCCAGACCATTCCCTCAACCAGTCCAGTCGTTTGACATCTTTTGACTGCGGACACTGCAGTGACAAACGCGACCTCTTTTCAGATTTCTTGGACCCCTCAATATTCCCATGTTCGCCGCCCACACCACCAGCAAACTGCCACTTAGTTCGAACGGCGATCGAGCAGCGCGCCTGGCTCGCCCACGTCATCAAAGCTCCTCTGGTCTCAGGGGTCGCATTTTGAATCCAAGCCTTCAAAGCGTCCAAGACGAATTCCCGGATGGTGCTACGCTTCCAAGGCCCACTTTGACTCTGCCTCAGTTCGAGGCTGACAAATTAAATGAGGTTGTATTAAAAGCCCTCTGCCTGTCCCTATACCATTTTTGACGTTATCGTGTTTCTTCCTTATCGTTTTACGCACTTTGACTAACTGCAGCAAATTTAATATAATGTAGTGTGTGCACTACGTGTGTGTGGAACTTGCAGGCATGAAGACATTAGGCACACTTCATTCAAACTACACCCATGTGGTGGCCTGCCTACGGAAAGGTGATTTAGGTTTGCTGTGTTATCGTATTTGTTATCGTTTTGTTATCGTTGTCATGCCTGGTGCAAGTAGTTGGAAAACCATGTGTAGCAATGCTGTAGCATGCTGTAGCACAAGGCTAAAGCGGTCCAAGCCCTCCTACCTCTGTCCAATGCATTGACCCTGACAATTCGGAGATTTGGAACAGTACTAGGTTTTCTGTTTGTGTGTGCACACTACTTCTCGCATGTCAAGGGTTTTCCACAAGAGTCATCGGGGGTTATCGTTTTTCCTTATCGCTTCACAGAATTGAACATGCTTCTAGAAAAACAGACGACATGCGAATACGAATTTCCTACATGGGGCTGTTTACACTCTCTCAAATGCTGCAAAGGGTTAGACAAGCACCAAATCCCAATCACCAAAATCCCCCATGCAAGAGCCAAAAGGCCGGCAGGGTGGGTGGAACTTTCGTGAGCCTTTCCCTTATACCTTGTCGACGCAGGCCAAGGATAAGAGTGACTTCCCCTCTTCAACATTCTAACTCTGGCTGAGCGGCACGTGCTGGAGGATTTCGCCTTCCAAGGTCTCTTCATCCAGGTCGGCGAGGTTCACACCTCCCAGGCAGACCCAAGGGTGGTCTCCGAATGTTGGTGGGGTGGGACAGGGAGGCAGGTGGGAGGTGCCACGAAGTGTGCGTGTGTGTTTACCACCCAAGGACATGCCCACAAGAGTTTTCCACAAGTGTGTCTTACAAGGTGTCCCACGAGTGTGTCCCACAAGAGTGCCCCACAAGAGTGTTATAGAAGAGTGTCTCCTACAAGCGTGTCTCCTACAAGAGCGGCCACAAGAGTGTCGCGCCAAAGCTTTCCACCGGAGCATCCCATAAGAGAGTGTCCCACAAGAGCACCACCTACAAGAGTGTTCTAAAAGAGTGTCAAACAATGTTTGGCCGTTTGTTTCCGAGTGTGTGTGTGTGTGCATTCGGGTTCGTGGGTTTCCCCAAGGACATAGGCGGAATTCGTGTTTTAACGCTTCTCCATCACCCGTAGAAAAGCCAATATTGGAGGGGGGTTCCAAATCCGACTGGAAGCCTGACGGATTTTTGGACCTTCAAAATGTTTCAGAACTCAGAAACCTTTGGCTCTCTCAGAACGTTTGGAAACGTTCCCCCCCCAGGGCCTTCCGAGTGGAGCACCTGCACCGCCTCCAACACGGCCTTCAGGATTCGGTGGGGTGCAGGAATGGTGCGAAGGGTGCACCGTGCATCCCAACCGGCGGCGGGGTTGTGGGGGATCCAAAACAAGGAGTGTGAAAGATGAAACGCATGATGCCCCGACAGATCATGATGTGTTCATGGGATCAAACGCATGTGATTATGAATTATGAATGCAAAAAACAATCGCTCACAAACAACACGTGGGGCTCGTCTCAGACCCCTCCACGCCATGACCGCAGTAAATTTATGCATTCTCCAGCCACTGAAGTGGGTTAAGCAAACATACGCAAGTGTCAAAACAAAGGGCTAGGTCGTTTTTCAACACGTTGTGGGTAAAAAACATAGTATGCCTTGTGTTCTTCTCTTCTTTCTTTGGTTCCTTCGTCCTGTCCCGTCCCTTCCCTTCCTTCATAAAATCGCTATTGATCCTGATTTAAACATGCTTTGTTGATCTTTGTAGTAACTTTGACCCTGATAATGATAATATGTTTTTGATACCCATGCCAAATCCTGCCATCCAAATGATCCGAGATGCAACCCTTTGCAATAAACTCACATGTGTCCCTCTCTTTTGGGCGGGCCCTGTCTCATTCAGCCTACTTACTTTTGTAGCAAATCACATACAAATGTTGCGTTTCTATATACACGATGTCCTTCAAACATGTTCAGACTCACAGTATATACTACGAGTAGCAAGTTCACTAGCAAGAAATCAATGTCATCAAGTCTTGAGGT